CTAAAAGTATATATATAATAATAATAATAATATTCCTTATAAATTAACACAAAATCGAAAATATATATTAAAAGAAATTATAAGTTAATTAATAATCATAATTTTATGAATTAATTTAATAACAATATGAGTTTATTCTTCAGTACATGATTTTTTTCTTTTAAAAGCTAGATATATACATATATATTATAAGTTTATATAAATAAAGATATATATATTATAATTAATAATTTTATAAGTTACAATTTTTGTAACATTAACACAAAATAGAAAGTAAATATGTTTATATTTAAAATATATATTAAAAGCATATATATAATAGTAATTATATTCTTTATAAATAATACAACATATACCATATATATATTAAAAAATATTACAAGTTAATTAATAATTATAATTTTATAAATTAATTTAATTAATAATATGAGTTTATCTTTAATTACATAAAATTAAAAAAAAAACATAATCAGGTTTGGATAATAGGTACCCGAGTGGTACCCGAACCCAATATAAATAGTAAAATTACTACCTTAACCCTTTTCAAACTCCGATTATAAAATATCTTAATTTTACATAATCGGATCAAATACCTCGTAGGTATCTTGTAACCTCATGAGCATCTTGTAACAATGTAACTATTACCATCCCTATGCTAAATTAAAAATATCTTGAGTATATAAATATAATAAAAATCTATTCACTTATTATCAATTAATTTTAAGTTAAATATCTATTTAAAAAATTCATCATGGTATTGAAACAAACACTGCCTTCATTCATTCACTTTTCTGTGAATCAATCACATGATGGGTCTATAATCCTTACACATGAAAAAAATACTAAAATTATGATAAAAAAACTCTCAATCTATAATAATTAATTTTTTGATCAAATGTCCATTCTAAATTCTAAATAATTCTAACAGTAACCTTGGTTTAAGAAGAAAGGCGCGGATTGTCCCCACTCTTAAGAAGGAAACTTTTTTTTTTTTTTGGATTTTTGTTAATACAAGGTTACATTTTATGTGGTCATATGCAGAAAATGACACCAAAAAAAAAAAAAAGAAAGCATATTAATTATGTCTTTGCTATGATTGTTAATCAGCAGATATGACACCATAAAACACCCAACCCTTTTTTTTTTTTTCTTTTTTCCCATCATTTACAGCAACTCATTATTTACTTCTCGTTTATTGTTCATTTCGCAAGAATATACTTAGCTTTTTCTTTTTCTATTTCTTTTTCTTTTTATCTTTTTTTGTAAAATTTGTAAAGCTGCTTTCACTTTGGAGCCCAAAAGGAGCGGAGGGCAGCAAGGAAAGGATTGAGATTCTATTTTGCACCAACTTTTGGAAGCTTTTGTCCCAAAGTCAAATTTTCCATTAATCAAAACGCTCCATTTTTCCTCTTTATTTATGTGCCATCAAATTCTTTGGGTAAACGTCAATATTTGTTAGTTAAGTGTGAGCATAATTAATGACAGACATAAGTTTCAATAATTATTATTTGACGAGTAAATTAATTTTTAAAGTCAAGAAAATTCGACCAAAAGTAAATTCATCATATTTTATCGTAATATAACATGTAAAATCAAATTATCAAAATACCTGTAAAAAGTTCAAAACTCGGAATATATATGTCACATATCTTAATAAAAAATTCTTTAGAGTCAGAATTTGGGATAAGAAGTAGTGAATTTTACTTAAATGTTTTAAATTAAGATTATATTAATTAAAATGATGGGATTATGGTATAATCTTTACATATACATACTTTAATTTTGATATATAGTGAATTATGATGTGGTTGAAGTTAACAACTAAGATCTCCCAAAAAAAGGGGCCTCAGAGTGAAGTCTCTAATCATGAATCATATAGGAACTGCATGCAAACAAAAGAATGTTTCATGTCACTTTTAAGGCGTGCACTAGAACGAAAACTTAGGCACTGTCTGCTTTTAGATGGGATTGGCGAGAAGAGAGATGAAACACAAAATGAGTGCGCACCCAAAGGGTTTGTGTCCTTTCATCTTTTGATCTGTCACCCAAATTCAGAGTGGAAATAACAGTAGTTACTATACTACTTTTTATACCATCTTCTCCCCTTTTGGTGGGGTAGGTGCCCTACCCATCCATATGCCTTTTCTTCTTTGTGTGTGTGTTGCTTTCCCCCCCTCCTCTCTTTAGCCCTTCTTCTTCATCTCCTTTTGATGCTTGCCTTTCAACAAGTGGCAGCTCATTCATTCAGATGATTAAAAGTACATTGAAAAGCAATACCGTAAAGATTGGTATTTATGCAAGGAAACATTCACCGATCGAAATTATTTCGATTTGGGAATATTAATATTTTTTGTTTGATTTTTTCCTTTTTCTTTTGAAAAAATTTGATAAACTATTCTCGATTTTGGACCCAATAAGTACTAAATTCATAAAAATAAATTAAATGCAATACAAATTAGCATCTTTGTATAAAATATTTGGAAAAGATTGAGCTCGAGAAATACTATTATATATAAGTTTCGATTAGGAGCTAAATTTTGTTCTTTTTGTCAATTAACATATGTCGAAAACTACATCATATTAGAAAGAAGGGAGGCCGAAGACGTGTTTGATAAAAATTTTAATAATTTCTTTTTCAAAATGTTTTAAAACTTTTAATTTTGGAAAATTTCAATTTATCAAACAAGGTTTTCTTCCCAATAACAAATGACATAATTAACAATTATTAATGCTATGGTCTGGCCATTAAACTTTGACGAAGACATACCCATTTTTTACTTTCGAGCTTTGGTCCATGGAGACAACCTTGTATTATTGTATGCTTATTACTATTATTATAGTACACAAAGAAATTAAATAATGTCAATGGATTTATGATCACAAAAAAGAAATGTCATCATGATAACATTGTGATGCATAAAAATTTGTTTTTTTTAGAATTAAATTAACCAAATTATGGGTTCAAATTAATATTCCTTTGAATGAGTAATTTGAACTTTCTGCTTATATATATATATATTATACAGAATACCATGTTGTGCTTACATAAATACTCTCTTATTTATTTTTTTCATCACATAATTTTTTTAAGAACTTCGACTCTATAATATTTTTTTTGTGAAAATGTTTTATTTACCTTTTCCTCTGTAAAGAAATATTATTGAATAATGATTCTATGAATTTGACTTGGTCAGTATTTCCCGTAACTATATATTACCTAAACTTAATACTACAAGTTATTAAATAAAGTTTTTATGAAGAAAATTTAAAGTTTGACATTTTATTAATTTATGATTATTTAAGTGACTTTTTGCTTACTGCAGTATATTTTATATTCAATAATTTTTATTTATATTAATACTAATTTAATTAATAACAAATATTTTAATCGTTTTATTATTGACCATGTGAAGAAAATTCTGAATAAAGAAAATACAAGGTAATTAAGGTGACCTTTGGCATCGGAGAAGTAAGAATACATTCCCTGCAATATATCTAATTAAATTATATTACAGTGTTTATTTTACGACAGACCACTGTAATATAAAATTGCAATGTAATCACATTATAGCCAAGGGATGCAATGTGATTGCAATCCAAAACCAATACAATCACATTATATTGTACTCTATAATGTTCTTAAAGACAATTTTACCTTTTAACTTTATTACCTTATTAAAAATATTTTATACTGTTATAATTAAAATAAAAAATATTAAAATAAAATATATAATATAAGAATCAAAAAATAAAATAAAATAAAATATAAAAAATTAAAATTTATATAATATAAGTAAAACAAATTAAAATAAAATATATAATATAAAAAATATATTAAAAAATAAAAATAAAATATATAAGATTATAATAATAAATGAAAATAAAATATATGACATTAAAAATATATTTAAGAGATGATATTATATAAAAATTAATAATAAAAAATAAATATATTAAAAATAAAATATATAAGATTATAATAATAAATAAAAATAAAATATATGATATTAAAAATATATCTAAGAGATGAAATTATATAAAAATTAATAATAAAAAATAAATATATAAAAAGTAAATATATAAGATTATAATAATAAATAAAAATAAAATATATGACATTAAAAATATATCTAAGAGATGAAATTATATAAAAATTAATAATAAAAAATATAAATATATTAAACTTGTATTTTAATAATTAAAAATAATTTTAAAAATTAACATTACATTCCCAACAAAGTATTTATAAACTATAAGACGTAATGTTATTTTTTTTATATTTTAATTATTATTTTGCTTGCATACCAAGCACTGTAATGTTATTTTTCCTATAATCACATTACTTATAATCACATTGTATTATAAAATATCAAACGTCATTTAAGTATAAATTTAGTCTCAAATTATTGTATTATTTATCTAATTTATTAAATTGGCGCTGACAATAGAATTAAAAAAAATGGAATTTGGATAACCTTTTAGATTAAGTTTTGGTCCACAAATTTTATTTTAGATGTAAATGTGCAATTTGAGCATGTCAATCATGCCAAATTTTAGAGTTGAAAAAAAAATCACATGTCAATAAGACAGTGACGTGGGACCAGAGTTTACTGGCATTGAACGGGTGTGGGTCCATTTCACGCGCCAACGCAGAAGAAGACACCCTTTGCCTCGTTTTGAAGAATCTTCGTAGTTCCTGCCAGTTGCCAACACACGCACCTACACGTCACACGCGCCTCTCATTACTCGGCGACTGTTTGAATTTCAAACTCGGCGTCCGGACATTTTAACAGTTTCACTGTTTTACCTCTTGTCTGATCTTCAGTCAACCTCAATTTAACTCCAACGTTAATCCGCACTTGACCGGTCAATATCTTTAACGTCGTTAATCTTTTCTCATTTTCTCCACTCCTAAGCTGCCACGTGGGCCCTATCAACTTACGGCGTTTACACTTTAAGATGGCCTCGTCTCCCTTTAAAAGCGCGTAAAGCTCTCGTCAGACCTGAAAATTTTTTTTCTTCCCTTTCTTTGCTTTTTTCTGGATCTGGAATTCTCGTCGGTCTAGCATGTCTTCAACGTCGTCGTATTGGTGTTACAGCTGCACCCGTCTGGTTCGCGTCCTGGCTGTAGACAACGGAACCAACGGCAACGTTGCATGCCCGTACTGCGACGGAGGTTTCATTGAGGAGATCGAATCATCGGATAATCACAATCGTCGATTTCCAGCCATGTACATGATCACCAGCAACGATAATAATCGTCAAAACTCGAATCGGACACGAAACCTCGTCTTTCGTCGAAATCGTCGGAGTTCCGTTGACCGGTCAAACATCAATCCAATTATCGTCCTACGTGGCGCCACAGACGACGAGAACAACAACACCAATGGCAGCAACAACAGCGGCTTCGAATTCTTCTATGACGACGGATCCGGGTCGGGCTTAAGGCCCATACCGACTTCGATGTCCGAATCGTTAATGGGCTTGGGTTTCGATCGGTTACTAGAACAACTTTCCCAGATCGAAATAACCGGATTGGGGCAACCAGAGAACCCGCCAGCTTCGAAATCGGCGATCGAATCAATGCCGACGATTCAAATATCTCCGACCCATGTTTGTTCAGAAACTTACTGTGCCGTTTGTAAAGAGCCTTTCGAGCTTGGGACCGAAGCTAGGGAGATGCCATGTAAGCATATTTACCATGAAGATTGTATCATCCCATGGCTTTCCCTTCGAAACTCGTGCCCCGTTTGCCGCCACGAAATGCCGTCGGACCGAAGCGAGTCAAACGATGACGCTTCGGAGACAGTGGGATTGAGTATATGGAGGTTACCGGGTGGGGTTTTTGCGGTGGGAAGGTTTAGAGGAGAAAGGGAAGTGCCCGTGGTTTACACGGAGATGGACGGAGGGTTTGGGGAATCGGGTTCGGGTCATGGAGCTCCGAGGAGGGTCTCGTGGGTTGGGGTTAGAAGAAGAGAGAGTGGGTTTAGGAGAGTTGTTAGAAGCGTGGCGTCGTTTTTGAGGGGTTTAAGGTCTCAGTCTCATCGTGGAAGTGAAGAATCTGGTGGTTTAACCAGAAGTGGTTCCACTTCTATGCTCAGTAGCTTTACAAGAAGTAGAAGCAGAAGCTCAAGCTCGGTTCTGGAATGAGAAAAGTTTTGGGGGTAATTATAAAAAAAGAAAGGAAAAATTATTTTTACTTCTTTTTTGGTCTTGAATTTATGGAAATATATGTGTTCTTTGATTGTTGTAAATAGCATTTAATTGGCAAGAATTTGAATTTTTCATGTAGTAATATATCAGTTGCAATTTCATCTTTAGTTTCTGTGATTCAATTTGTTGCTAATTGGATAGCAAAAAACAGAGGAGTGGAGCTAAAAGAATGTAGAAAGCTTGGGTCTTGTTTGATCGAAAACAGAAACCTTGTCGTGTCAGCCACCCAGGTTTTGGGGTCTTAGGGGAATGGGGGATACTGCCTTTTCTGGTGGGGATTTTTGGCAGCAAAGGTTTTAAAGCTTTTGTGATTATCTGATAGCAGTAAATTTAACTTGTCAGCATCCGCCCTTACACATGTTTGAAAGCAGAAAGTCGAAATGGGAACTTCCTTTCCAATTCCCAAGTTACCCAAAACATTAAAAAGTCGTGGCCTAGTTGTTAAAACCTTGCTACATAAGATAATACGAAAGCAAGCAGGCGAGATATAAATCCAGAGTTTGCCGATTTGGTCTAATCTTCTATCCAGGGGAAAATGAAGTATTCTAGTTACCATGCCAAACGCCCCCTCATTTGCCCCCGGCATCCGCGGGCCGAGCCGGATGTGATGTAGGCAAGACATGGCCTGGCCTGGAGCCAGGACCAAATGGAGGTCATATGGGACAGCTGGAATTGGGGGGCAAAGTTGCGCCATCCTTTGAAACTGGTGACGTGTCCAAAACTTAAGCTTTGGAGAAACGAACACAGGAAGAAAGACTGTGAGAAAGGAAAAGGAGATTCCACCGACCAAACATGGCAAAGTCTGCACTCACTGCGCTCTCCTGTCTGGTTAACCATTAATGTCGCCAAACTGCTACTTCCAAACTAATACTAATTTATTGAACAACTGTTAACATCTAATTAATGCCTTAATCGTTGTCAACAATCATTATCATCTATTTTATCTTTATGGTGAATAAAAGTAATTTTAATTTTAATATATTTATGGAATTTTCGAAGATAAAAAAGTAATTTTGAGAAATTATTTATTTTGAATGTCATTGCAAGAAAAGAATTGAGACATTTGCAAGTTTTGGATTTCTGATTTGGTGGTGAATCCGTACACACTAGAAATCTGATGGGCCACAGAATGCTAGATCTAACGGTTGTTATGAAGTCATCCACGCTGTCAACAAGACGTGGCAGCGCTTAGATCCGAAGCAAGTCCACGTGCCACTCTCTAGAGTTCTCTTCGAACTAGAAAAATAACATTAAAAACCGAAGTAAAAAAATTAATTGCTATCAACTGTTTAGTTTCGGACCAAGAAAGAGAGCGCAACCGCAACAGCTAAGAAAGGAGAGAGAGAGAAAGAGAGAGAGAGTTTGTGGAATTTTCTTCTTCTTTTCCTTTTGATTTTTCTCTCAGATTGTTCATGTTATGCAATTAAAGGACTGCCGTTTGATTGATTGATCTTCGTTTTTCTTGTGTAAGTATTGTTCTTTGTTTCTCTGCATTGAATTCTGTTTGTTTTCCGAGAAAACGGAGGAAAACTGAGACTTTCTTTTTGCTGTTTCCTTGCGTTTTCTCATCAGCCAAACAAACCTGGAAAGTCGACTTCTTCTCTTTTTTCTTTTTGGTTTTGTTAGATTTTGATTCATACAGGGCAATGCAGGCTAGTGTGCTAATATATTTATTTATGTCTTTGAAAATAGTATTAATTTTGCTTGATTCTGCGGTTGATTCTGTCTTTGCATGTGGTTTTTTTAATAATAATGTTCAAATTCAATAAAAGGAAGAAATTTAATTCATAAACTTTGAATCTTTTGCTTCTGAGTTTGTGTAAAGTATGGCTTCATTAGCATAATATAGTATTAACTATGCTTTAAAGGCTGGGGCTTAATAGACAATATTAAAGTACTAAAATAATGACTATTGACAAGGTAAATGGCATTCCAATTCATAAACAATTAGGTCAATTGGTTTCTTAAGTTATTTTAAACTGGAACGGAGAGGTAGAGATGTAGTGGTGTTAACCTTTTAATAAATTATCTATTGGATTTCATTAGTGGGCCAAATTTGATAAGCTTTAATGGCTTTTGAATGGGTCATGCTCTGAATCAGTAAATTAGGTGGTTAGGTCTCGATTTTTTTCATGCATAAAGGGGTTACTATGACTGTTTCCACTGAAAAAAATTTATGACCTTTTTGCTTTTCCTTGTTGGATTCCAAATCCTTTTACCATAATCTGTGATTTTGTAGAAAAACTACTGAAATCTGTGGTTTTGTAATTACCATTTCAGAGCTTAGAGCATGTTGACAGATAGGTACATTTCATAATCATATGTAGAAAAACTGACTTCTATTTGAGACTCAAGAGAAAGCATTGGCTCAGACATCACAAACATGTGACTGTAGACTGACATATTTGTGAATAACCATTAACAGGCAAGTGTACTACTCTATTTCTCTCCATAGCTTGAGTTCTTATGCCACTAGAAGTCTTTTATCTATAAGATTTAAGACTTGTTATGGCATGCAATCTTTTGGGATTAACAAAATTTCTACTTTTCAAAAAAAAAAAAAAAAAGAGGCCAAAGATGGGACTGGTGGATAAGATATTGAGTACGTGAGGGGACTTGTTTTTAACTTAATATAGACCTCAGCAATCCTTAAAATTTGAGTATAATTTCAATTTAATAAAGCTTGATTTCCTGGCTGTCTATACTTTGTTTGATTGAAATTGACTTGTAATATTGATTAAAATACGATTGAAATATAATAGGATTTGAAAGTTTCAAGAGAAGAAGTTGTTTGCATTCCACCTGCTAGTGGAATATCTGCATTTTGCAGCAATGAGTTTTGTTTTCCGAGGGACTAGAGGAGATATAGAAAGCGGGTTTTCGGGATTTATTCCTGAACGTCCTGCTGTGGTATGTTCACTTATCCACATCTGTACTTACCCGTTGGATAGCCAGATTGTCTTCTACTACACAATGGGACTTGATCTTCTCACTGTGCCTTTTTTTTTAGCGTATACATGCAGCCCGACCGGTTAATTCCAATTCACTGGCCTTTCTCGTTACAGGTAATGTTTCTAGTTCCATATGTTTTCTCCCATTGCATCTTTTAACACTTGTCCCTAGTCATTACTTATTGTAACTTCAACTTGCATTCTAATCTGTTCTTACCTGTTTGTTTTAAGCAGTTCTGTTGCTGTTTATGATTTTAAACTCTCACCAAATGTCACCAAACTTTCTGGTATGTACTCACTACGCATTGAATGGGAGCATGCTGGTAATGCATGGCAATTATGAAGGTATCCTCTGTGTCTGTGCATGCAGCTTTGGGTAGTAGTGGGTGTCTTTTTAATGGCTACGAGCCTGAGGATGTATGCAACTTGTCAGCAACTTCAAGCTCGGGCCCGAGCTCATGCTGCAGCAGCTAGTGGTTTGCTAGGCCATACCGAGTTGCGTTTGCACATGCCACCATCAATTGCTTTTGCTACAAGAGGACGCTTACAAGGACTAAGACTCCAACTTGCACTTCTTGACCGTGAATTTGATGACCTGGGTATGGTGCTTTTTCAAAATTCAGTCATAAGATTCTATGCTTTGGATTTAACATGCATTGACAGATATCCAAAGGGAGTTTTGGCTGTAATTTAGGTGGTTTTATGGAGATTAATACTTTTTTGCTTTCTCCTCCAGATTATGAAACCCTGAGAGCATTAGATTCTGATAATACTTCCACAACTCCTTCAATGAGTGAGGAAGAGATAAATGCCTTACCTGTGCACAAGTACAAGGTCCCCGGCCCAGAGAGGTACACATCAGTGCTTCTGTTTAAGTAGCAGGAATTTTACCACTTACAGCTATGCTCTAGTTGTGAACTAGCATGTGGGGCTTGCTTAATTTTCTTTTGACCAAGTTCATAGTCGCATTGATTTTTCTTCCTCGTTATTTTTTACAGTGCTGGATCATCACTGCAGCAGGCATCATCTTCATCAGCCTCTATCGAGGTATCATTAAATAATTTAAAGTTTAATTTTTTTAATAAACTAGAAAATATTGTTGATTAGAAACCACTTTTAAGTAATTCCTTCTGGAGTTGGTCACTCTGTTTTCAAGTTGTAATAATTTTTTCATGAAGCTTTTATACTTTTCAAAGAAGATCTCGGGTAACATAACAAATCATTGAGTACATCTCATAATCAAAGTTGGCATAATCATAGAGGGCATTTAAGTGTTCAACAAAAATTTGTCTGTCTCTGTGCATCTTTATAAATCATTTTATATATACTGTTTTTTCATGGATGGTTTTTGTAATCTAAGTCACAAATCTCGGTTGCAGCCAAAGCAAGATTCTAGGAAAGCTGATGGGAGTATGAAGGCTTCAGAAGATGAACTAACTTGTACTATTTGCTTGGATCAAGTTAACAGGGGGGAGCTTGTTCGTAGCTTGCCATGTCTGCATCAGGTTCTAGCTCTACAGTCTACTTGATTTCTGTTGTTATCTAATGATTTTAAGGTGTACAAGTCATTTGTCAAAACTGTGGTCTGTTTTCCCCCTATTTGTTCTATGATCATCTCCTAGTCAAAGGAATTGCACTTACCAACATCTCACATCTATACTGCAATGGTGATTTTTTAGTGAGTTAGACCTAATGACCTTACAACAACATTAGCTAGTGCTTTTTTGGAAGTAAGCTCAAGGTTTTGTATGCTTCTGAATTCGTATTTAAATTGTAATATATGTTGTTGAACAGTGAATGCTAGAAATTTTGCATCACATGCAATTTTTCCATCTCTCGGGAGTGTAATGTATTAGTGTTTTTTCCAACCTTTCCATTTTCTGAACCGTTGTTTCTTAGTAGTTTCCCATGTTATCCTCATAAACATTGTAAACTGAAAAATTATTACCAAATTTCATGGGAAATCTCTTTTTCATGGATGCGACTTTGAGAAAATATTCTTTTTCTTAAACCTTTCAGAGTTAAATGCATCTGTGAACTTCTGACTTGTTGAAACTGTAAATGTCTGTCTTTCTATCTTAAATGCATGACCTTTTACCATTATCGTTCTAAAGTCTGTTCTTGACTTTTTCTTTTAATTACTTGGCCAAACATTTCTGATTTCTTGATGATTCTTGTTCTTGTGCTAGCATCCTTATGCTTCTTATGCATAGTGCTAATAGTTAAACCCTAAATTCTAAATCCTTCCTAGAATACCGACTTGTAATAGATGTTATCTTGATGTCATATCTATTATATGGTATTTGATATATTAACAATGTCTTTTCTTTCAGTTCCATGCCAGCTGTATTGATCCGTGGCTGCGGCAACAAGGCACATGTCCTGTATGTAAGTTTAAAATGGGGTCAGTATGGCAGGAAAACAGGGGGAGTGAGTCAGATGATTCAGACATGGTGTAACTTGACCCCCCTAGTAACACAATCTGTATATGCAGTAAAGTATATCTATTATGTTTGCAGTTACATGAAAAGTAATGTTTTTTGGATTGTGTTTGTAAATATCCTCGTCAGTATGTTATCTATCATGGACTTCATGAAAGAAAATGAGGGTATAGGTTCATCATGCTTAGCCTTGTACCTTTAACTGTAAAAAATTCCATATGATCTCATCTAATATACTCTGTGTGAGGTCATTGGTTCCTTTTGGATAGATTTGTAGCTTTATTTTTTTTTTTTCAGATTCCATCCAACACATATCTTTATTCTACTTTTCTATGAATTCCCTTCTCCTATCTTAGCGCTGGAATTTTGGTGATGCTTGTGGAAGATCTAGGACTTCATCTCACCACATGTCACATATTCTAATGGCATATATTTTTTATGTTAGACATGATGAAATGCTTGATATTTGGTTTGTGATTCAATCATTATATCTAGGAAGAAGAAGCCGGCAATATTAAAATGCTTCATTGAGCCATTCTCTAGGGAGCGCTTTGCATTAGCTGGCATCACTGTTATCTTCTAATTAGACATTAGCATCACTGATTATGTCATAGTCTTCATCATCTTTCTCATAGTATGGAATATTAGTATATTATCTCTGACCTTAAGGTGATCTTGTTCCTTACCGTGTGAACCGACAAGTCACACCAGATAGATCCAGATTTGGCTTCGGTTTAATCTGTAGCTGAGCCTGGACATTGGGGCTGCATCGCAGGTCATGGATTGGTGCTGAGAAGTGGGTCATGATAGCTGAGGTAAAAGGAAAATTTGATAGTGCATTTTTCGTGCACAACTCTTTTGGGAAGAAATATATATATGTAAAGTTGTTTGAACGGGATAAGCCTATGGGAAAAGGGACGAAGGTCCCCAGAGTGAAGCCTGGCCCAATCCTTTGCCGTCATTGACAGGCTGGTCTGAGGATGACACCAAACGAAATAAACATATTAACCGCGTGCAGTACAATAGTACTACGAACTCTGCAAAGTCAACGCTGTACTGCAAATTAAGAAGTGGCGAGCAAATCCGGGTATTTATGTATCAACGCTTAGAAGTTAGATGATAACTAACGTCAACTAATCCACGAAAGAGGGAAGAAATATCCATCAGCTCTAATCTATGGCCACAATTTCTTCTTCGGCAAAACTTAAGTCAAAGTCCCTGTTCATTTTTCTCCTCCTCTTGCAATTCTCCATAACGAAAGGTCATGGAGGGGACGATCACGAGGACGAAGGTGACCATGCAAACTTGCATGAGAAGGGCTTAATCTTGGTGAAGATATGGTGCTTGATAATTCTTCTAGTCAGCACTTTTGCAGGTGGTGTCTCCCCCTACTTTTACCGATGGAACGAAAGTTTTCTCCTCTTAGGCACCCAGTTCGCCGGTGGGGTTTTTCTAGCCACCTCTTTGATTCATTTCTTGAGCGATTCTAGCGAAACTTTTGATAAGCTCACGACTAAAACCTACCCTTTTGCATTCATGCTGGCATCGGCGGGCTATCTTCTCACCATGCTTGGTGATTGCATAGTTATCTATGCTACATCAAGTGGTGAAAGAGAAGCTAGAGTTGAAATTGAGGAAAGGAGAACTGCTGATGAGGAGCACTCTAAAGATGTAGGAATGGATGCCAACCCAGTTTTCCTGAGGACGACTTCACTCGGGGATACTGTGCTTCTTATTCTCGCCCTGTGTTTTCATTCAGTTTTCGAGGGCATTGCCGTTGGCGTTGCGGGTAAGTTTCTAGAGCTTTCATTTATCCAGTTATGCGTAAACAAGCTTAGAGAGGGAGGAGAGCACTGAGCACTATAGCTGGAACCTAATAGCTTTTCTTTAGATGAACCCGAGTTGAATATAGCACAAACTTAATGAAGTTGCTTCACGTTTCAGCCCTTCGATATATCACCCATAAGCCTGTTTCCATGCTTCAGATACCAAGGCAGATGCGTGGAGGAATCTTTGGACAATATCACTGCACAAAATATTTGCAGCCATTGCGATGGGCATTGCACTGCTCAGGATGATACCAAAGAGGCCATTTCTATTGACCTGTGGTTACTCTTTTGCCTTTGCTGTTTCTAGTCCCATCGGAGTAGGGATCGGCATTGCCATTGATGCAACAACTCAAGGGCATGTAGCTGATTGGATTTACGCAATCTCGATGGGACTTGCTTGTGGGGTTTTCGTTTACGTTGCCATCAATCATCTTATCGCCAAGGGCTTCAAACCACAAGCAAAATGTTACTTCGACACTCCCTACTTCAGGTTTCTTGCTGTGCTTCTTGGAGTAGCAGTTATAGCAGTTGTTATGATCTGGGACTGATGTAACTCTTTGCATACTAATTTGTAATTTTCTTCAATTATAATGAATGCAACATCAATAGACAAATACCAGGCATTGAAATTACTCCATGTTCAAATAATATTCATCTCGAATATTGTGCCTATTGAGAAAATATATTTGGGAACCTTAATCACATGCTCCAAATGACAGAGGAAACATATCCCCTTCTTTCAGCACAGAAATATAGTTCTCTTCAAATTATGTCTGGATTTTGTACATTGAATTCTGTCCCTGAACTTTGTCAATGGAATTTCCTTCAACTGATATTTACCAGGAATGGCTTCAAATGAACATGAAATATACCATATAGGGAGGCTGTCCGAATATATCGGATTAGAGTTCTCAATAATTCCAGCCGCATTGATTGTATGAACAGAACTTTATAGTGTGAAGAATTGGAAACTCTCCTTCTTCCCATCTTTGTTCTTTTTCCAATCACCTCATTCTAATACAGGTATGTGCTTGCACTTTAACTCCTGGTTGGACTACTGGAAAAAGGAACATAAACATGAAGAAATCTCCATGATGCTAGTATACGCATACTCTGAAGCAAGTAAAGTAGAGCTACAAATAGTAGCCTAGAAGATTTGTAGTTGGTGCAACCAAAAATTTTGTTAGTCTAAACTAAAGTCTGATTAACAAACTATTTTCACAAAACACTGTTAGCCATAGACTCAATAGACTCTAGCTAAATCTGCTTTATCTTTAACTTGATGACAAAGCTTCAGTGATTGGTTTTTGTTATTTACAGTAAGAAATAGCAAGGCAGACACCATAATCATTTCCATTGTTGCTTAAAAGAAAGGTGGGTCAAAAGTCCTTCTCTTCCCCTAGCCTTTGGGGACTACCCCAGGGGTTCTATTTGGTTGAAAAGAGCTGCCATCACCAACCAAAAATGTGCATGTCCCAGTGAACTCTTTCATGAAAATGATCATCATGATGAACGTAAATCTGAATTCACTGGTTGATTATTGGTAAGCTGTGGGAAGATGGTAACTCCTTTGATTGTCTTGATCACCAAGAATATTTAACGGTTAGACTTGACCTTCAAATATATCAGTCGCATAATAACTGAGGGTATATATATGATCATAGAATACATTGGGTCAAAAGACACAAGATCTAAATGCACATTGGTTGGGAGGTTTGTTTCACTGTTTACTTCAGTGGAAATAAAACAGATGAAGTAAACAGGATTATCCTTGAATATCTCTTTCAATGGCTCCATTAATCTTAATAAAGAATTTTCTTTTATTATCCCTAAAGCAAATTGTGGGAGTTTGGAATCAAGTGAGAGAAGGTAGAGGATGCACGCTTACTAACTAGACTGATCCTTGTAGATAAATTTTTATTTTTATGGAAATATTTCTTGTAGTTTTAGTTGGTTTAATTTCTTTATATGCATGTAATTGTGTTGGTTTTTGAGAAAGAGATATCATGAAAGATTTTTATTTTATTTTATTTCTTCCCATCCAAACAATGTAATATCTCTAGAAAAGGGTATCATCAGTTAGCTGTGTTAAAGGTTAGGAATGGTGAAATTTTGAGTATCAAGATATGTTTTAGGGGCATAGCAAGGACAAAAGATTGATTAATTGACTTTAATGATACTCAACAGTGAAGATTGGGCCACGGTTGGTAATTCGTGCTTTCTCAAACCTGTAACATCTTATTACCTAATCAACCAAACGTCTCTATATAAACTGACATCCCTACAGGCTTCCATGAATCACTCCAAAAGAGCTAAACTTCAAAGACTTAGACCAATAGTTTGTTTCCTACTTGTTTTAGCTAAGTAATCTTTTGTCCCAACCAACATGGGTGCTTCTTCAGCTCTTCTGTCACCAGCAGTTCTCATGACCTTCCTTGTTGCTGTTGGCAGTCTCATGGCCCATCCTGAGGTTGTCACTGCAAAGCATGCAGGCAGCACCAGGCACTACCACTTCGACGTATGAAATTATTGCATTTCTTACTTTAGATAGAATGTTGTAGCTTGTGAAGTGAAAGTAAAACATAGGCCTGAAAATTTTATCTACATTATGTTTCTTTTTCTATTGCAGATAAAGCTGAAAAATATCACCCGCTTGTGCCGCACTAAGAGCATTGTCGCAGTTAATGGGAAGTTCCCTGGACCTCGTGTAATTGCCAGGGAGGGTGATCGCTTAGTCGTTAAAGTGGTTAACCATGTTCCTAACAATATCAGCATTCATTGGTATGAAGCTATTGAAATATTTCTTCGTTAATGTTCTGTAAAATTTTGTTATGTTTCGTTTGCTGTGGTATAACCCTTTGGTGAATGACAAAAATGGTGTCTGTAGGCATGGAGTTAGACAGCTTCGGAGTGGATGGGCAGATGGGCCTTCATATATCACACAGTGTCCTATTCAAACTGGCCAGTCTTACGTGTACAACTTTACCATTTCTGGCCAAAGAGGAACTCTCTTCTGGCATGCACACTTTTCATGGCTTAGAGCAACTGTTTATGGACCACTTATCATCCTCCCTAAGCGCAATGAATCTTACCCATTTGTCAAACCCTACAAAGAAGTCCCGATCTTGTTTGGTAATGTTATGCAAATCACCAGGTTTTCTTTCATGGGGCTAATGAAGAGTTCTTTGATGGGATTTGTCTTATTGAGTTCACTTGTCATACTACAGGAGAGTGGTTTAATGCTGATCCTGAGGCAGTTATCAATCAATCTCTTCAGACAGGAGCTGGCCCGAATGTTTCTGACGCCTACACCCTTAACGGGCTTCCTGGCCCATTGTACAACTGTTCTTCCAAAGGTATATAGCCTTAGGGGGCACCAAGCCACCAATTTGGTCACCCAAGCCCTGGGGCCCATTAAATTCACAGCAAAATTCTTATTCTGCCTTTTAATTGTGCTTGTAATTTACAGATACATATAAGCTGAAGGTAAAGCCTGGAAAAACATATCTTCTGCGGCTAATCAATGCTGCACTCAATGATGAGCTATTCTTCAGCATTGCAAATCACAGTTTCACTGTTGTGGAGGCTGATGCAGTATATGTCAAGCCTTTTGTAACCAATACATTGGTGATCGCACCTGGACAAACCACCAATGTTCTCCTGAAAACCAAACCACAAGCTCCCAATGCCACTTTCTTCATGTTAGCCAGGCCATATTTCACTGGTATGGGTACCTTTGACAATACCACTGTAGCCGGTGTCCTTGAATATGAAACACCTTCAAGTTCCTCATCTTCCATTAGTTCGAAAAACCGTCCACTTCTTAAACCAGGCTTGCCTGCTATCAATGCTACAAATTTTGTTGCCAAAATTTCCAGCAAATTCCGAAGTTTAGCCACTACCAGGTTCCCTGCCAACGTCCCCCAAAAAGTAGATAAAAAGTTTTTCTTCACAGTTGGTCTAGGAAGCAGCCCCTGCCCCAAAAACCAAACCTGCCAGGGACCTAACGGCACAAAATTTGCAGCGTCTATGAGCAATATCTCTTTTGCTCTCCCAAGGACTGCACTTCTCCAATCCTACTTCTTTGCCCAATCTAATAGGGGTTACACCACTGATTTCCCAGCCTTCCCTCTTCATCCATTCAATTACACTGGCACTCCACCTAACAACACGCTTGTAACTAACGGGACCAAAGTTGTGGTGATACCATTCAATACAAGTGTGGAAGTAGTCCTGCAGGACACTAGTATCCTGGGTGCTGAGAGTCATCCTCTCCATCTCCATGGCTATAACTTCTATGTTGTTGGCCAGGGTTTTGGCAACTTTGATCCTAACAAGGACCCTGCCAAGTTCAACCTAGTTGATCCTGTTGAAAGGAACACTGTTGGTGTGCCCTCTGGAGGTTGGGTGGCAATCCGGTTTCAAGCAGACAATCCTGGTGACAAATGAGAATATTATACAATTTATTCTCAAAATATATATGAATTATTCATTTACTGACACCATATACATTTTCTTTAATAAATGATGCAGGCGTTTGGCTGATGCACTGTCACTTTGATGTTCATTTGAGCTGGGGCTTAAGAATGGCATGGATAGTCTCGGATGGAGAGCTCCCTAACCAGAAGCTGCCTCCTCCACCATCTGATCTTCCCAAGTGTTGACCTTTGTCTCTCCCTGGGACTTGAAGCATCAGCATCGGCATGCATAACCTTATTTTCTCTCTTTTTTTACTTTTTGTTCCTTTTAATTCGTTTTTGGGGGGGTTTTCTTGTAATTTAAAATGGTTCTGTTGTGCGGTAAGGAGTAGCCTATGCCAACGTAGGCATTGAACTGCAGGCTCTTTCCTTGGTTACTCTGCCTGTCGCGGAGAAATTCTTACTAAGAGTCCTTTACCAAGAAAATGGTGAAGGAGGTTTTGTACTTGTTACCATCCAGAGTTTCAATGCTGTTGTTTGGAGCAATAATAATACAAAATTGATCTAATCCATATTTTCAAATTCAATATCCATATACTTCATACATTTTAATTTGCAATGCTATCAAGATATATAGTATTCTATAGTATTCTTTCATTCCCTTTACAAAGGAAAGGTGACCCTAGACTCCCTCAAACACTTTCAAGAAAATTTGAGATTCTGATACCGAAACCTTAATCTATGCATGCAGATGGGGTCGGTAAAATACACTGAGAAATTTTCTTCTGTTACACTATATGTCATACTGTTAATTCTACTAAACTGAAAAGAATTCAAAATTTCTTAAACGACTTAGATTTGGGAGTGCAATAATATGAAAATTGCACCGTCCTCTAACTAAAATTCTATAATTTAGGAACTATTGAAAGATATTTAGTTTATTCACTATATCAGGTTGAGCTGAAGAGGTGAATAGTAACAAATAAATTTAAAGTCATCTTAAAAGTAAGTAAGACAAATTATTAATGACAAGAAACTACTGTACATATGCCCTTCTGTCAAATCATGGTGGTAAGCTTAAGGCATCTGAATTTCAAATGATCATATTGTAATTTGTAAGCTTTTTGTACGAGGGAAAAAGGTTGCCATGGGCCAGGAGAATGGGACAGATCTCGACCAACATCTAACAAGTGGCCTAGGATGTTGGTTTGGTGCCTCTTTGGCTGACCAGTGAGCAGTGATATGATATTAAGGAAGGTCATCTTCTTTCATAACTAAGAATGACGGAACTTTGAAAAACTTGGACCGTCTTAATAGTTAAATTGACAGTAACTTATGATTCTGTATCTGATGAGACATGCATTCTTTTGTTAATTGATGATGGTGATCACAATGTTTGAATCCAGCCTTTAGGCCAAAGTTGCTGTGTTGCCAACTGGCTATCTAAAGCGAGCAGTGATTGAAATATTAGTCCTTCCATCAAGTACCAGTTCCTTCCTTTTTCTTTTTCTTTTTTTTCTTTTAGTGAACAAACGCTGCCAATTTTCACACCTCTTGTTCTTAATCAATATGGTGAACTGTTTCCCTAGACTGCATTCATTTTTTGATTCCAATCGCCTTGCTATCTTGAGAATGCTGCCACAAGATTTCTTGATGTGTTCCTGCAAGTGGGAAAAATTGAACTGGTACTAAAAAAACTTAGTACTGATTTCTTGATCCCATCGATACTCTGACTCTTGTGTGTTTCGTCCTCTAGAAATCCCTTTCTAATTCCTTATATTTTCTTAGATATCTTTTAATAAGGATTCCATGCAAATTCCATTGCGAGATGAATGTTGATCCTGCTGTAGCCTTATCTTTCTTTAGGAAACACATAAATCAAGCAGTTTGGAAGGGCCCTGGTCTATAAGGTATGCAGCATGCAATTTCTTACTTTCTTTCTCATATCTAAATACCTAGATTGCTCTGCTAGAGAAGATTAATATTTGGCTTTAGATAGAGAGGGTTAAATTCAGTTCTTAAGTTATGTTGTTTTGGTAAAATGATACCCCACAGTTGTGTTTTCGAATTATGTTATTTCTATATTTGGAAAGTTACCAATCATAGTTAAGATCTTAAGTTTATTGAAAGAACATGAGTGTTTTACTAGTTTTGAAGTGGTTGAAATCTTGCTGATCATCAGATTTACTTATACTAGCCCTCTGCTCATGGTCTAAGAGATGTAAGGCTCACCAGTCAAATGCACTGAAGTTAAATGATATTTATTGTCAGTTGCTTCCAACTCTGTCTATGGAGGTTCATATATATATTAGCTTTTGTTTTGAGCCTAGGTAGTTGGACGGTAAAGATCCTTATTAATCAAAGGGTTGACTTTTTATGTAAATCCTTAGTTTTCTGATGAAGATGAACAGAAAAAAACTTTTTTAAGTTTTACATAATACAAAACACTGGTGCTAATTGCTAACAATCAGTGTGTTAGCATTACTCCAGATAAAGTTGCTGCAACAGTGGCAGGGAAGTTAATAGGAGGAAAAACATATTGGTCTATGTTTATCAGACAAACATGGCCCTAGACAAAGTGGAATGATGAAAGAGGTCGCATATTTTCCATGTCAAATTAAGCTTTTGAGGAGCTTCATCCATTCATCTTGCTATTTCCTAACTAACAATCAGAATCTAAAAACAATTTAACAAAAATTTTTTGATGTGTCAATGATAGTAGTGGGATCCCCTTGAAGCAATCAGAGCATTTAGTAAAGTATAGACTGTCACACATGCTATATCTGGGGAAGGCTAGAACTGGCTTGATGCTAGATGAAGCAGCATGACGAATGACTGTAGTACATGTATCTCAGACACAATTCTTGGTTTAAGTGTGGTTTGAGTTTAAAAGAGTTTCTTGAATTTTGTTGCCCCACTACTCTTTCCAATAAAGTGTTGAAGAAATGTTTTTCACTGATTCTCAAGCTTATCATTTTGTATCATTTACTGCTACCCAAATAGAGGTTCTTAGCACTAGCTTGAACTGGAAAACAAAAAAAGGAAAAGATCTTAACTAGGGGTAAGAACCTAGAAAGCATAAAGTACTGGAAAGTTTTTAGCACATCAAAAAACAGTTTCAGGGGCTGACTTGGTGAGATGAAAGTTGAAAGATGAAACCTCTTAAAGTGGGGAAAGAAGTGAAAGGAAAAGAAGCAGATCCTTATTTAAGGATCAATCCAAGATTTGCCATTCACTTTTAACTGAAAACTCAAAATTCCTACCTCTTTTTCTAAAAGGGGCAAAAAGATGGCTTTCATTCCCAATGCAGATCCAATAGCCAATGATGTCCTATTATTATAATGGCTGCTGCAACAGCTGATGAAAGGAATCTCTCTGTCATCAAGGCACAAAAATGAAGAAAATGGAAACCAAAAAAGAAAACCAACCCAAAAGCCACTCCAAAAGGAAAATGAGGTTAAGAAGACATCCTGATATTGAGATCTGCTTTTGATTAATGTCTCAAGGGGAAAACAAAAAGAAACCACAGGGTGAAAAAGGAGGAAGAAAAGATTAGAAAAAAGTCTTGCTAGTTTAAAGATTTGACAGAAAATCAATTTGTCCATATAGTCTTTTCTTACAGCTATAAAACTTGTAGCTCTCTCTCATTTATAATTACAAACTGAACTGAACTAAAAATTGAAGGTAAGCAAGGAAAACTCTGTGACATTTTATCTGTTCCTGATCCAATGGATGGAAATCCATGAGTTTCAAGACAAACAAGACCAAGAACCATCCTGCAGAAGCAAGTGGAGAAGAGGGAAAGGAACCTGGAGGATCCTTCCCTACCGATCTATATATATTATATATAATATATAAGATCATCTCCATCTCTTGTCCTTCAAGAATCCCCATGCTTATGCCAGCAAACAAGCATGGCAACACAGCGCCTCATAATGTAAAATCTTGCCTTCTGTTCCTTGGCCAAGCTACTACATTTACGGGAAATAGATGAGCTCTTCTGCGAAAAACTTCGGGGTAGTGGATATTTAGATGAGGAAGAAGAAGACGATGGGCTCTTCTGTGAAGAACTCCTAAGGAGAGGAGACTTGGAAGATATGCTCTTCGTTGAAAAACTCCTCGTGAGAGAAGAAAACTTTGAAGAACTTGATGAACAATGGATACCCGAAGCTTCCTTCTTTGATATTTTCCACTTCTCATCCATGTAATAAGCTTGGAAGCTGCAAAACCACTAGCAATAATGGATAGACAGTTCTCAGAGTTTGATCTCTTTAACCTAACCTGATAACCTCTTTGTCTGCGCGTGGGAAAGATGAGCAGAGAAAAAGAGAAGGTGAGACGGAGATGTGACTGAGAAGGATTCTCAGGGCTGTAGACACTAGTGGGGCTATATGTTCTTATATATATTGCGAAGTAGGGCCTTGCAATTTGAGCTTGTTACTTTGATTTTATCAGTGTTTATTTCAAGTCTCAATTCTCTACTCTCTTACTTAGCACTGATTTTTGTATGCTTATCATCTGAGTTTTGCATGTTATAAGTACCGTTGTTGCTGTCGTGGCACGATACCATTGGTCGGTTGTCTGAGGATTTTGGAGGTCCTCATTCTTGCTGGTATAAGATTTTGCCTGATTTTTGAATCTCCTCACTCTTGGAGATCCATCATTTATTTTTCTAGACACCACTGTCGTACGGCTCCCCATAATAATGTCAGTATTTTAAGTTCGTATCACCAAAAACACACACATGAGAGAGAGAAGAAAAAGGGGAAGGAAGGGGGGAGGAGGGGTCAGAGTGTTGCTAGCTGGTTCTTGTGATAAGGATTTTGTGTCCATTGCTTTACAAAGAGACAGGGTTGGGTTTAAAAATTCAAATACTTTTGCAGTTTGGTAAATGGAACATACACTTATTACAGTGCCATTCTGCTTCTTGATGGAGCCCCACAAACTATAAATGGGGCCTCTTTGGTCTTCTCCCACAACTTCATGTTGAGGGTTACAGCTCTAGCTAGATGCCGTCTTTCCCTTCTCGTAGCTGTAGCACAACCTTCTAAGCTCAGACTGATCACTTGTAAGGAAAGCCTTCATCCCTTACAATGACTTCATTGTAGTGATCATCACCAGAAAATTACACTCTTCAACAAGCTTTCCATTAGCATCAAATTGTTGCTGTGTCTGTCACAAGCAAATAGCAACTTTTACCCTCTCAGCATATTATTTTTCTTGTAGCAATTGATCATGTTCATGCTGGTTTTATAGTTCACTGCCTACGAATTATACATGAATTCTAACTTGACAGATTCCTCAGTTTAATCGAATTATGTAAGCCTAACCATCCCTAGACTGAAGCAGAGAGAGAATGTCTTGCAACCCAACTTTTCTGCTCTGATTTAATAGAGAAATTTAGTAGATATGGTCACTTCCTTCCTCAATGTTTGGTAAAGGAAAGATGCTTTTATCCATTATCCCTCCACTTTTATTTCTCTGAGGGTGATGTGTAGAGCATGATTACAAGAGGTTGCCATGTACTTTTTGCTTCATTTTCCCTTTCATGAGTTCAAAGCAAAATTTTCTTTTCAACTGTCCTCCAATTTTTTGTTTTCCCTTTAACATAGGATTCTTTTATGAGTTTGCATCAGTAGAGTATTTTCATGTAAAATGGTCCTGTATTAAGTCTGATAAACATGTCCTACCATCAGTCATAAAAACTTTGTACTTTTTCCAGCTTAAAAATCTCCATCAGAAGCACTTATTTACAGCTCTGGAATGCTAAACAGCTGAATTTAAAGCATAAAATTATCTGTTGGAATTAGGATTCACATGCACATGCAACCCCTCTGGATCAGCAAACAGAAGCTTGAAATTTTGAAATAAAAGCATCATTCAATTCATTACATATTTATATATACAGCCCCATATTAAAATATTCCACCAGGGGTACCCTGATGAACTCACCATGTGATGAAATTGATTTGTGCAATAATGCTTCTTCTGGTATGGGACAACCTACAAGATTGTTCAACTTACGAGATTGCTATATTCTTAAAAACTTCCACGACAAAACTCACTTTGCTATTTATGTTAATCATAAGTATAGTTTGAGATTAAAAAGGATTCAGATCACTCTTACTTGCTTCAAGTTCATTCTTCCAAGGATTAACTTGAAACCGTCTTTCTCATTTTGGGTTCTTATTTCCAGTCTAATTACAGAGTATTACATACTGCCTGGAGATCCTGCTGCAAATTGCATTAAACTTTAATTATTTCTCTAACAATTTTCATTGACTGTCGTGAAGACTAGAAACCAAAAACAAGAAAGAAAAAAAAAAGGGGGAATCTGGAAAAAACCAACATATTTTTGTTAAATGAGACAATTTGACTGGTCAATGTTTTTCCATTGCCAAAATTATGTGCCACAAAGTTTGCTTTCACATGTTTTCAGACCAACGTTGGGTTTATTGAAAGGTATCCTAATCAACTTGGTTTCTTACTCTTTAAGATAGGAAAATAAGACATTTTACTGCAAAACTTAGGGGTTCAAAGGGAAAAGAATGAAAGAGAATGCTTTCTTCTGTCATTTTCTAAACCTTGCCACAGCCATTGGACTAAAATCAGAGAAGAATATTTGAGGTCCACGTGCCAGGGGAAACAAATTAGGCCACCAGACTTGGTGGTAATGTGGCCCTTAAAGGTGGATGAATTGCCTTCTCATTTCCTTCAACCTATGTCAAAACTGACCTATATAATACCAACATCAGAAAAGTAAAAATTCCTCAATTCTTGAATTTCTCTAACCACAAATTTACTTTTCTTCCCCTTATATGATCAATTTAAATAAAAAAAAAGGAACAAACTATAGATTTGATTGGTCAAATATATTGTAAGGATGGGTCAAAATCAAATCACATGGTGTGTTGTGGCTGCAATACAATGCACCTTTTAAACTTTTTTTTTAGGGTTTAGCAATGTTTTTTATTTTTTTTCCCTCTTAATCATGTGGGCTTGAGAATATCAGCATTTGGGAGTCCCACATGGAAACATGTGAGCTGCACAAGCATGGGCAGAAGAAGAAAGTGCTACCCCTTCAATTTTTATTTATATTTTTAAAATTAAAAAAAAAAAAGGGAGAAAAAGAAGAGAAGAAAAACCCAAAGTGGGACCTTTTGTACAACACATGAATTAAAATCAGGTCAAATGTCACATACATTCATGTCCACAGCAACCATTAATATGAATCCATTAAATCCAGAGAAAGAGACTTTCACAATTTCACATTTTGTTTGTTCAGTGTCTCTCTCTATTACCTAATATATTTAAACACCATGATCTTGCTGACGTTTGGGTTTTGTCCAATGTCTTCTGTTTGGTTGACTGCACATTTTGCATGCATTTAAGTCATGAATAGCCTATAAAATAACAGGAGGAAAATCCAGGTCTGAGAATGACATTCATTTTTCTTTGAAATTTCTTTGAAGTGGGATACAGTCTTCTACTTACAAAGCTACATGTAACATGTTATTAACCTCAGATTCCAGCTCTGGTCTGGGTGCAGAGAGTTAGGCTCCACAAATAATTGTTTGGGTGTTTAGGTCCACAATGTTATAACAGTACTCTAGTGGCTTTTGGGCCCAATCTAGATCCATTATATTGACTGACAAACTAGTCAGAAGAAAGCTTGTGGTAATTAAACTCTGAAAATAATTTTCTTAAACAGTAAAAAAAACACAAGCTGCATATCATCATGACTGTTAAAACACAAACAAAGAAGTAAAAGATTTGCATGGCAATGATCAACCCTCACTCTACAAAAGTTACCAGTAACAAGCAGCCACAGAAATACTGAGTAAAAGTAGACTGATATGAACACAGAGACTTTAAGATAAAAGGCATGTCTTCTCCATTATTGATTTGATGAAAATGTACAACTCCCTGATAAGGAACATGAAGACTTTGATGGAAAAAGCCTATTCACAAGCTTAATATCATGCAGCACCAGTTTCACACACACAATGGTTAATAGTATAATTTTTTTTCCTACCTACCTTTAATTTACCATGCCTTGGTAGCTGCCAACTGAGTTTTTTGCATTCCTGCAATCTCCTGGTTGGCCTCTTGTCAGACTTGGTTCTTATTTGTACAACTTGGTTTGCCTTTACTTTAAAAGAAAAACATGGAGTTTTCTGTGTGGATGCAATAAGTATCTGTGTGCTTGTACTAGCTATGCAGTGAAAAATCTAAAAAGGAATAGGTGCAATCTGTTCATAAGCATATGATTCCTATTAATTCACCTCTGCAAATTTCCTCACTGTTAATTTGCCAAAAGCTAGAGAATGAAGTAGAACTACTGTATTATGAGGAAAGCCTTCTGTTCTAGCAGGCCAGTACAATGTACTATTCTTAAACCTTCATTTTCATACAAATTCTGAAATCTGAGCTTTCCAAACAAGATGATTACATTTCAGGTTGTTCCATGACTGATCATCAGCTCCGAGGTTTAACATGCACGCTGAAAATTCACAATCATATAAGCACTTACATATGCATGCGCACATGCACCAGCATATCTAATGCATGCATGTCACATGAAAATGATGAAGATATATACATCAAGTAATGCAATAGTGTCATTTATTTGGAATGGAATTGATTAAATAAAACTAATAAAGACTGCATTATGATCTCAACTTTAATTTGTTTTTAGATTTTTTTATGATAATTAAATTTGACAACCCATTTTTCTCGAGTGGTAAAAGGGAAATTATATATATTTATATGCAAAATTTTGCTCTTTTATCTCATGTTTAATGTGCCATGTTACTATGTAGAAGTTAGCTATCAGCAATGTTATTTGACTGTCAACATGACCAAGATGCCAGTTGCCTCTAGGTTATACCTACACATTCAGCAAATCGGGTCAGCTTTCTCCATCAATAAGGCTTATGAATGAAAACAATTGCTACATTGCATCTTCAACGTGGCCCCTTCTGTCACAAATCGAAGCACATAGTTAGAAACTTTCGACCAATGCCAGCTTACATCCACACACTCACCAGTCGTACAATGAGGACTGGGTAACCGCCAGTTACCTGCTACCACCAAGCTAGAAACAATGTTTATAGATGATGCCAATGAATATTTAAGGATTAAAAAAAGAAAAAAGATAGCAAATTGATGACAGAATAAAAAATCTTAACTAGAAAACCAAACAACATGCAGAAAAATAAAAGCAAGAAACACCAAATGGTGTAATGCCAAAACACACATAGCGTTGAATTAATGGGAGCTTTCCATAACATACATATATAACAAGCATGCATGTTATGCTTTCAAATTAACTATATCCAAGTACTTTGTTCCTAAATGCTACTTGTTCATTCTCACCTTG